GCTTACCTGTGAATACACAATTACAAACAGGTGAACAGGAGCACACGCTGCATCTTGTTTCAACTCTCATCACGTACTGACCAGACTTCTTCTACCGTCAGCTACTGATGCGTGAAATACAGAGCGCCCTCTGCTGGCGAAACTCATATTAAAGCTGGATTCAAACCAAGCAGACATAACAGTAGTGTTCCTGTAGTTACCTTTAGAAATAAAAATAAAATGGGGGGGGGGGGCAACTATTTTTATTCATCAATCTACATCATCCATCTATATCATAGTGCCACATATAGCACAATTCATACACAAGGGAATTTAAAGTGCTTTACAGATGCAAGAAAATACACTGGAAATTAAAAAAAGAGAGATTAAAACAATCAAAGAAATAAAATGGTTTAAAACCAATATTTTTTTTTCATCTGTTCTGTGTTTACCCTGATTATTGCAGGTTTTCAAGCCAAGAGCTCCCCAGATGGTAACGATACCAATTGAATAAGATACGCGTGTTCAAAGTGTTTTTACACTGTCATGATGACAAAAAAGTTCTTGATTTCTTTTACTGCTTAAATTTTAGAGTGGGTTGGGTTGGATCAGATTACAGATCAAACAAATCAGTCAGTCTTTTCAAGTTTTTACAATGTTCTTTATAATGTCCAGACAAGGGCTTGTATTTTAGTTAATTTCATATATTTTTTTGTATTCTGAATGATGTTTTCTCGTTCGTTAGCCCTTCGTGTTAGCTTATTCACATTCATGAACAACTGTGGCGGCAGCTTGTGTGGTCATTCTGTCCCTTGACTTTTCAGACACTCTCCTGCTCTCCTTCCTCCACCTGTAGTTGCTTTATCTTGCTTTTGCATTTAGTGATGAAAATACAGAGGTCCAGCAATAATCTCACTCATACTCCCAAAATCTGTTTCACATTAATTTGAGCTGCTTACGATAAAGTGAAAATAAGAGCTGTTTGACTAATAAGAAGGGCGTGAGCTTCATTCAATGTAGAAAAAGAAGAAGAAGAAAAAGAAGAACTTTATTGATCCCCGAAGAGAAATTCAATATAACATATATATCATAATATATATTCTATATATAGGATATAATAGGCAACACGGTACACGGTACAATATTGTTCAGTTTTGATGATCAAGTTTTTATCCGAGGCAAAAGCATAATCAAAGTTAAAAATACAAAGCGTATAAAAGTCACCATCATTGTTGAGCATTTCACTGTTAAATATTCATCACTTGGTCATTATGTAGCCATAATATAATTGTTTCCAACTGACACACTCGCTGTTTTTTGTCATTGAAATCATACTTTAAAGTAAGGAGCCATAACTGCCATCACATGGAGCTAAGGATGTATTTATATCTTCATTACTGAAGTCTCAGCAAACTGAAGCCATGCAGATGACTTTAGAGCAACATGCCACACATAATTATTTCTCTCTCACACCTGTTTGTGTCCTTGGGGATGAGCTTAAGCAGAGCGGTATTTTCTCTCGCTCAGAGACGGCTTCTTAATGAAGGACTTACTAGGCAACAATCTGGGTTAGAGGCTGCATCTGTTTATCAGCAACAATACTACCACAGAGACTCTCAGCTGGTGGACGACAGAAAAGTCCCCGTTCTTCTGTAGGTACTTAAAAAAAAGGAAAAGATGGTCAGGATTGCAAAGCCACTCTGGGTCAGTGCTCCCTGAATGGAGTCTCAGATGGCTGTTTTATATCAAGAAAATCATGACCACTGGAGCTCCTTCACTCTTCTTGAGCCTGGTTTCTCTATGTTGGACATGTCTTGCTCAAATGCTCCAAAACTCCATAGCAAAGTTAGTCTAAAGGATTTAAGATCCAGATTTGGGAGCTCAGTTTTTGGCCTCAACCTTTGTCCCAGTTATTTAACCCAATCCAGAAACAGATTGACAATAAAGTTGACATCTGGGAGGCAAACATGCCCTCAGGTATTAAGAGTTCAGTTACTGGGACCAGGTCATCTCTGAGTTATGCTGTTATAAGTTCAGACTGTCGGGGCACTGACACCCTGAGCACGTTTCCCTCCTTCTCCATCCTCTTTATGTCTGTCATTATCTTTGAATCATCATGTCCCATTATAATCACGAAAAGAAAGTCTTTGCTAGGAGTCCCTGAGCTCCATCATGCCGTAGGTTCCTCTATTACAAAGTGAATTTTTTATTGCATTTAAGTTATAACATTATGTGCCATCAATCAGTTATGAGCCATTGTTACATTATAAGTGATTGTAGAGGTTTGGAAGGATGATATAATGTTGTGTCATTTGCATATAGATAAACTTACAGTTAATTATTGAAGGAAATTTTCATGAATATTTCCAGAGGCGAATCCTTGATAAAGAAGTTAATCGTTGTTTGTTAGATTTATTAGACATTGACAGATCAGATAGACTATCGTTTGTGTCAAAGTTTCCTGTATCCACCTTAACCTGCTGACGTTGAAGATGAAGGTTGCCCAGTATTATATCACTGATATTCAAGGTGCCTCAATAACCACATGCTTCTGGGCACAGTACTGGTTTGTGCTGGGCCCATTTTTCTATTTCTCCTTGTTTTGAGAGTCTTGGAAGCAACATTATGAAATATTTGTTATTTGAAGTAACTTGGAGCATGGGTCTGTGACCAAACAGCCTCAGACCAGTACTGGGGCTTTGGTTGTTTGAAACAGCAATAACCCAGTCAGAACCAAAAGGGTGAGTATAACTGCCATACACTTCTCTTTTTGGCTCTAAAAGTTTGCTTCTTCGGCTCAGTGAGTATGTGGTTTCTGGCATTCTGCAGCCAGCCTCATGTGGGAACTCAGGGAACTGCAGTTTTCAGCACTTTTGTACCGTCTTCATTTCCAAAGACTGGAGCTTACAGCTTCATTGAATTTATTATTATTATTTTTTTATTTCCCTTTGGGGATCAGCATAGTTCTTGTTCTTCTCTCTTCCTCTTCTTCTCCTTCTTCTTCATATGATATTAGTAAAGGACTGCTACAATATGTCCAGTCCAGCCGCCACCTTGGCCAGGTCTCACTTGCTAAAATTATGTTGTATCTCTCCTGGTTAATTGAGGGTTGAAAAAAAAAATCCCCACAAGTTACGACAACAGCTGTTCGGTTGGTGTATTCGGACAGGCTGAAAATCCCGCTTTTTTTAATTAATTTTTTTACAGGTGTAAGTTTTTGATATTAATGAATGGTCACTCTCTGTTTAGTGTCTCAGACTAGTAACAGAGGATGTCGTCTGCAAAACTTGGCTGTACCTCTTCCGTTTACAGGTCAGAGTTGCCTCAAACTTCCTCCCACCTTATGATCTCTCATTCTCTAAAACCTACAACCAGCTTGAATTTGCTGATTTGGGATGTGAGGTCTCATTTTGTCTTAAGTCTCCTCTGATCATGTGTGGTCTGCATACTTCTCACAGATTTCTCTCCATGTCGGTGTTTGAAGAGGACTGACAGTGCAGACAAATGAGTGTTTTACTTCCATCTTTAGTTTATTTAATCATCTGCTGACTGAACAGAAAAAGGATAAAACAAGTTAAAGTGGTAAAACAGAACAAAGTTTCTCAGGACTTTATTTTGGTCCTGTGAGCAGTATGACTTTCCCTCTGACCCTGTTTGTTCACTCTATCAGTGTATCAGAGTGTTGACTCTGTGTTTGTACACAGCACACAGTATATCTGTGGAAAACGGCCAGTGTGTGCTCAGGTTGACACTCCACACACAGCAGAGGGAGCCGGACACAGAAAACAAACACAGCCTGTTACTTCAAATCTGAACAGTTCTATATCAGTACTTTGGGTTTATTTTCTGTTCTTTTAGAGAACACAGCTAAACACACTGACGATTGACGTGACGATTTGTTCTAACAAAGCCTCACAGTGTCAATGTTTAGATAAGATTCTGTGTCTAAAGATATAAATCCTCATGACGTGTCTCTCTTACTCAGTAACTACCAATCACTTAAAATAAAACACTGCAATAAAACTCACTGAAAATGAAGAGGTTGGTCCACGCCCATCTACCTGGGTACACCTGTTCGGATCCTGGTCACTGTGGACATGTTCCCTCTGCTGAGTGTCATCTTTCTTAATCTTTTTGCTGTGTTAGTGTCAGTGTCAGTGTGTGTGTGTGTGTGTGTGTGTGGATACTGCAGTGTGGGACAATTTAGTGAGGATGGCAGAGATGTAAAAAACAAATGGCGGCAAATCCCAGAAGAAACCATAATCTTTCATTTAAAAACAACCTTTTTTTTTTTTTTTACTTTCTGTACTTTACTGTAGTAAAGCCAACAAAGAAGACAATTCACCTGATTCTTGGAGAGCTACAGCAGTACTCCAGGATAGCTAGTCAGCCATCAGAGTTCACAGAGAAAACGGTGGGGATTTACTGGGTGGAGAGTAGCTGGACTCAGTATACAGAAAACATTGCGCCGATGAACGGCCTGTGGCATTAAGACGCACTCCAAAAAACAGCCACTTTAAAATTAAAAAATTTAAAATGTCTACTAAAGCTTGAAATGTCAGAAATACCAACCAGTAAATCAACTCTGCTAAGGTTCAACTAAACAAAAAAGGCATCAGTCATAAACAGTGGTCTTAAATTTGAAATGGCTACAACAGAAAACAACATATTAGCAATGAGTAGCATTGCCTTTCTGTGGTTTATTTCCTGATCATCTGGAGATCGTTTCACAACTTTTGTGCCTCTTCCATTCGTGAGCATTCAGCATGACTATAAAGTTTTGTTTTATGCAGGTTTAAATGTGTTCTCGGTTTGTTGTGATGTGACCTGCACCTTGACATGCATCATAGTTTGGCCTTGTGGTTGTTTTGGGTTAAAAGTAAACCCGTTATCAATGAGTATTTGTAGTATAAATGATCTGAAGCATGGCTGGGAATTTAAACATGATGATTTATTTACATATACACCAGATGGTATGTGCGATTCCAATATCTGACATCCGGTCTTGGTTGATCTTCTCCGTCCACTTTATGTATGCTGGGTGGTGGCTCTGTAGGGATCCATTTTTCTTTACATCCCCAGGTAAGGTACAAGTACAGGTGTGCTGTTTGTTGGTGCAGAGGATGTTTTTTGTATCCAAACTGTCACATGAAAACTGCTCCTGTGTTGGTGTCTGCTATTCTCCGCAGTATGCAAGCCAGTTTGACATCCGTCAGCCGTGTTGAGCCACGATGGAATTTCACTCTTTACATTTCAAACGTTCTCCAGTCGCTGCTGGAAAACCATCACGAGTGTTAGAGATTCTAAAGAGCTGAAAAACTGTGCTGCAGATTGAATCCAGGCGGATCTCCGCTCTGTGTCTCAGCGCAGTTTTCTTTTTTTTATTTAATCAACAAGATGTCACCTCCATCTCCCTCCCCCATCACTTCCCCCCCTTGTGTTTTCCCACTCTGCCGACGTGAGCTCAGTAAACAGACGGTGAGGAAAGCGCGTGAATAACAAGGTAATGAACAAGTATTACATTTCTTCAAGTTAGAATAGAATAGAATAGAATAGAATATTCCTTTATCGATCCCCCATGGGGGAAATTTTTTTGTCACAGCAGCATCACAGACAAAGAGTGCAAAAATGCAGTTATAAAAATAACGATCGTAATATTAAGAACTTAAATAAATGTAATAATTAGGAAAAAAATTAGGAAAAGGAAAAAGGGAGAAGAAAAATTAAACTAAAATAAAACTATGTACAAATTTGGACCAAATGCAGACCTGCACAGGGAGAAGAAAAATATCTCAAATATTCTTAAAACTTTTCACCTTGGTGACGGCCAAAAATGTAACTTGTACCTAGCAACATGGTCCTGCAATAAACAGACGATGTGGATCTAAATCTTTCTTTCTGAAGGCTGATTTAGAATGTTTTTGAATTAAATTAGATGATAATGCTGTTTAGAGGTGGTTTTTATTACTCTTATAGAAATGTACAAAACCAGGTTAAACCTGACTTAAGTACAGCAGCAGCAAACACAAAAAACAAAGGGCTTAATGAACTGAATTAAAAATAACAGGTCCTAAATAATTTTTTTTTAATAACTTCACCTCCCAACAGGTGCATTTCAGACAGCCACTCATAATTGCAAGAACATATTTGTTACTAGTTTGTTCCTTCTGTGCTACTGTAGAAACATGGCAAAGCAAAAAAGGAGGCCTCAGTGAAAGAGGATCCTTTCCTTAATCCGGTGCAAACAGCACTGCAGGATTCTCACTTTCACTCTCACTTTAACTTGTCTTAGAAATGAACCATGGACATACATCAGCATGATAAGAGCAAACTGATGAGAGACTGCGTGTTTGAGAAACATTTACTTGACATTTTTTTTATCTTGAAGTTTGACCCATTTCCCATCTTTTTACATGGAGGAAGTGGGCTTTAAAAAGTTTTTCACAAGGTCCCGTTTTGAGCAGTTAACATCTATTTTCTTAGATTATGACAACATATGTTTACATTGTGATGTGAAACTTTGCATTCATCTCTTATGGACACCATATATTGCAACTTTGCAGGTTTTGTTGTAAATGTGGAAAAGCACAAGACCACCTCAATAAAAATATATTTTTGTACAGTGTATTAGTACAAGTTCATGTCAAAATATTTAATCTCAGTTAATATAAACTGCTCTGACACGTCAATAAATAGATGTGAAAGGATCAAATATTTCCCTGCTGAATTGGCTGTATTTCCATTTGTTATAGTCAGTGATGCCTCTCTTTTGGCCACTAATATAATAAAATTAGATCTGTACCTGGACTCCTCAAAGAAAATAAGGCAAAATGCTGTAAATAATTCAAACTATTTTCTTGCAACCCCCATCATCAAACACATCATTGTGAATCAAACCAAGATAGAGTACCTAGAGGACCTTTGACTGTCTGCAGCTTGAAACAACTCCACCAACTTTGGATGATGCCGTCCTCCTCTTCGCCCAAAGCAGCCTGGGTAAGAACAGCCAGACTTTAGAGCAAGTCCTGTTAGTTAAAAATCATGATCCAGTGTTAAATTCTGTGTTGAAATCTATGTTTACATCGGCAGGACACAAGCTAGTAAGCTAACAAACCAACTTAATACACTGAGGTGTTCAGGGTCGGGTCGGTAAAAGGAGTTTCAGGTTAAGTAGATAATATCTTATCGTGATGTGTTCAAATGTGTGTTTGTTTAGCAGTTGCCTTTGGTGTAGGTGGGTTATGGTTTGTGCCCTGATACGTGGGTGTGGTTGATCAGTCAATGATCAGTCAATTTATTTCACCTGTGCACCTGTGGTGTGGCTATTGCCAAAATTTAGCGTGGGGTGAACACAGGGAGGACAATTTCTGCTTACTGCACGTTTTGGGTTACAAACTGATTAATTACCATGTTTGTGAAGTATTGTTATTTAAATTTAATGATTTTAGGGATATTAAGGTCTTCAGGTAATGCTAAACTTGTATGAGTTGGGCTAAAAGTTGGAAAGAAAGTTTTCCAGGTTGACTGAATCCGAGATAATAGAAATTCTTTTTTCTTTAACTGTATATGATCCTTGTAAAAAGTCAGTTCTGCATCTTTACTCACTGTACATCAAAATATCAAATTCTTGATTGCTTTAAAAGTTTGACAACTTAAAGTAGAGTAATGTCACTGTGTTCAACAATTGCTTTTTATCTGCACAAAAACACATGCACCCTTAGGCTACGGTGGCCTGTGAGTGACATGGCCTGTTAAGATTTTGGTTAGCAACAGCACAGATCCAAAGAAACATTCATTTCCTCTGTAGTTTAAAAAGAAAACTCCAAGGAGTCCCAGCAGGAAAGTTTCATGCTGTTTTAGCCAAAGGCTGAAATTAAAAACAAAAAACACTCAAACAGGTTTCATCACTGTATCACTGAAGCACATTAGAGGAGAGATAATCCAGCAGTGGCAGTTGTTTTGCTGAGAGGTATTTCTGGAGATGCTAGATGGCCGAGTCGGTTTTAACAGCTGCTGCAGGTGAGATATTCAGGATGAAGGTTTCTCTCTGAATGACATCAACTCTATCGTAATTCTCAGCTCAGAGTACAGCATCCACACCTGGGACCAAAACAATGTTAAAATAAGGGCCACCAGAGGGGACAAAAAAGTGACTTTGAGAAAATTTATCCAAGCGTCCCTACAGCACACACCTATCACACTGTGCTTACACAGCAGAGATCACAGACGATAGTTTATTTCAGTGGTCAGTGGTTCATGGTCTAAAGATGAATTTACACATAGGTGAAGCTGATGAAATGATTCTGAGTAAAGGCTTTATTTATCTGTTACTAAAATAGAAAATTAACACTGATAATCAGCAGAAGCCAAAATGTTAAGTCACTGTACTGAGATAAAAAGTGAAAATTAGGAACACAAAAATAAATGATCTGCAAAAAAGAAGTGAAAACTGACCACAGAGAGATAAAGAGGTGATTTTTATGACAGAGAAATAACAAAAAATGATAAACTTTTGAAACATACCATCAAAATAATGAGGTTTCAGTCCAAATAATGAGCCAAGTGGTCATTTTACTGGAAGAAGAGCGAAATGAGATAAAAAAGCCAAAAATATGAGAAATTTTCTCTGAAATTTGAAAAAAGCTGCCAAAAATAATGACATAATTCAAAGTTGAATAATAAGATTTATTTCAAGTGGAAAGAGAGGATAACAAGATGAGAAATTTAAAAAAAAAGGAATTATAAGATAAGTCATCTTCATTAAGACAAAAGAGTCAGAATTATAAAAATCACGTCAGAATTACAAATAAGCCAAAATTATGAAATAATAGAGAATTTGAGTGATAAATACATATCTCCTCTATTTATGATTTGGAAATACATCACACTTATAACCCTGAATATTTATTTTATGACTTGTCAATGTTTTGTCTTTGTCATTATTACGATTTGCTGCACAATACTGATGATGATCATTATTAAAATAGAAATTTTGTATATATACAATAATTTAACATGTAAATGATTTAGTCCATTGTTGTTGAGTGACTGAATGGCTTTGTATTTGAGAGGTTTTGAGAATTTATTTTGAGTCATGATTTGACAAACTTTAAAAAGGTTGATTTTCCAAAATTCTTGAGCATTGAACTTAGAAAAGAAACTGCTAAAAAAGAGACAAATAAACAGTGATTTTTAGGGACTTTTAACAAAGAGTGACAGAATTTGCTTCCCTGTTTCTGTGACCGTAGTAGTTTAACGTGATCTTTAAAGGTGTCGTCTGTCTTCTCTTTGTGAATCAAGGGTTGGATATATCAGAGGGGATCAGGTTTTCCGTTTTATTTCAACATTTCTCTGCTAAAGATGCAAAGAGCTGTTTTTTGTTGTTGTTGTTGTTGTTGTTGTTTTTTTTTTCAATTATTTCACAGGAGTTACTAATGAAACAATCGATGGCCCTGACTTCTTTCTCCTTACTACACAGTGAAACTTCCAAATCCAAACCCTGCAGAGCACCGGCTCTGAGGCTGCGGTTTGAATATTTCAGGTTATAGATGAACTGTCGACTGTCTGACAGCAGCCACTATATAAACTTTGAACACCGGCTCTCAGGAGGTCATCGATACTCGTAAATATTTAATTCAGTGCCTCCGACAATGCATGCCACTGAAATCTTTAGCAGATTGAATTTGAGATAAATGGCACGGAAATATCTCCAGAGCTGATACACACTTTTTTTCAAGAGCTGTCGCCGTGTCAGAGCGAGGCGCTGGTTTTGGTTTCACAGAACATGTGATAGTGAGTTTGTCAGCACTTCTACAGCTGCTGTGCGACCCACACAATAGAAAGATAACAACAAAGGAAGTGACTCTTTAATTATCTGAAAAGTTTCTGAGAAGTCATAATTTCAGGGTTTAAATGCATCACTCTTGATTAAATATCTAAATAAATGGGAGGAGCCTTTCCTGCAAGCGAGAATATCTTTGAATATACTCTGAACATGGTCAATAATAAATAATTTTGATACATGACTGTTATGCCCCAGTTTTTTTTATTATTTCTCTCCTTCCATTATATTAAGAAAAAAAAAATGTTAAAGCAAGTAAATACAGTTATTTACACTTACAGAGTGTGTAGAAGTGTTTTCTGTGATATAGGTGGACTCTTTAGAGCCAACAGGCATTTTCAAGATTTGACAGATCTGTTCAATGTACCTTTTATAACAAACATCTTGTATGCTTCACTGTTTTGTTTTTAATAGTAATTTTGCCCGGAAAAGTCAGAGATGTTTATGGCCGTTTATTCTGCCTCTCCTCCAACTGTATTTGGCTTTATTAGAGAAGTTTTTCTGCAGAGCATCATTACACTAAAATACTAACGTGACAGAGGAGCTGTATATATACCCAATTAAAGTGTATTAATTATTCATTTATTATTGGAAACTTTATCCTCTCTGTATGTTTAATTATGCGGTGCCTGTCACAGATGTGTGGTTTTATATTTTAAATGGAGGAAAAAGTGAAAATAAAACTCTCATTTTACTGTAATTGGAATCAAATGCTTAAGTTTTGGGGTGGGAAGTTAAGTAACAAAGATTTGTCTGAAAAAAGTCAGCCTGCTGAGTTTAGTGGTAAAATAAAAGCAAGTGCCTACAATGCAGTGCAAAGACCCTATAAGACTTGTAAGAACTTGTCCAGTCTGTCTTTCTTTCATGCTAGGACCTACAAAAGTCTTTTCTTCCCTCTGTGAAATCAGTGAAGTCTGGAAATTTGACTTCAGTATCTGGTTTCTTTATACTTTGGTTAATTTAACATGGTGCACATTTGATTTGACTGGTCCCAGAGTTTTGTTGTGTATACTTGTCTTTGTTATGTACACACATTACAGATTAAAAGTCTTTGGTTGAACTCCGATGTGTAGACTGGTTAAAGGAAGTTGTGTTAACTCCTTTATTAAGTGTTCAATCCGCATCACATTTCATAGACATAATCAGGATCCACTCTTTAACAAATCTTTATGTTAACTGAGCACCTATAGTCATAGCGCCAGCATGTGGGACTGCATGGTACTAACTTTTCTGCTTCAGATAGGTCTGAAATGCAGGAGAGTCTCGAGAAAAACGGGAGTGTTGGCAGGTATGGATATGATTAATTGCTGCTTTGGTCTAGTGGCTGCACTGCTAGTTGTAGCGAAACTGCTAATGCTACTTGTGCCGTCAGCAGTGGCAGGCTGTACAGTCATTCTGTTTACTTCTCCGGTAACTTACAGAAGTGAACAGGAAAAGCTCGACTTTGATTGGCTGTTGTGACGCACATTTCCGCCATGTTTGATCGTGTAAATATGCTCACAGCTGATCACCATAATCGAACTGAAATTTATCGCGATCATCGATCACGATCATATAATCGCCCAGTCCTAGTCACTATACTGGATAACATTGTCAGTCCCCACTCAAAACACAGGTTAAAGCTACTGCTTTTCTGTTTTTCAGCCCTAAATTTCACATGTATCGGTGCTTTTTGCAGGAGGAACTTTTCCAGGGATTTAGGATCCCTTTAAAGAACTACAAGGTCTCGAAATCCTGTGTGATTCCACTGCAATGGTCTATACTTAGTTATGGGGTAAAAGGTCTGCCCCCTTTGAAGCCTCTTCTTAGGAGGTAGTCCTTTTCAATGGCCCAGGGCCTCATTTACAGGAAAAAAACAACACAGGTTCTTGATTTACATACAAAATACCGGGTACAGGAAGTTGTGTTTACTCCTTTTTTCAAGCATTTATTCTTCATAAAATTTCCTCGGTATGATCAAGGTCCACTACCAAACACATCAATCTGAATTTCTCACCCAGTCATGGCGTCACCCTGTGACACTACATGGTACCAACTTGTACAAATTTTTAGTGCTTGATGATGGTACAATCATGAACATTACCACAAATGATAACTTTGTAAAAGCCATAGCCCCACCACCTGGTTAAAGCTATGAGTGTACTGTTTTTGTACCCTTCATTTAACATGTAAAGGTCCTTTTCTTGACCAGAGTTTAAACTTAGTTGTGGGGTACCTGATTTATCCCTTTAAAAAAGCACCTTCTTTCAGGATAATCCTTTCCAATGGCCCAGGGAACTGAGAAGGCTGGGCCTAACTATTTCATTTACACTAAAAACTCATCATTAACTTAATA